TTGGTTTCCTTGCGTTTTGTGATGTGTAGGAAGTGTTGTTTGGAAAGAGGGTTCAGATAGAGGTGTGGTGTCCAGTAACACCACACAATCTGCAGGCCCCCTTGCGGCACGTTGCTGTTGTATGGTCCTTTTGTCCGCAATTGTGGCAAAGTTTTTGCATCTTCATGATGTCCAGACGTTGTTCGAGTGAAGAGACTTCATTGCAGTTTTTCGCAGAATGCAAAAAACTGCAATGAAGTCTCTTCACTCGAACCGTTGAATGTCCTGTTTTTTGCTGCAGTAGAAACAAGGAGCTGAGGTTTGAAACTTCGTTGGTTTTCTATTGGACGTAGTACTTCTTTCTTCTCTTGCACCCTTTCCTTGGTATTCTCCGATGTTGTAACCGTGCCGTTCAACTTGACTGATGATTCTCAGTTCAGCTTCGATGAACTCTTTTGCGGATCTCAAGAGGGCCAAGTGCTCCACGTTCCTTCCCCTCTATCTTTATTTTCAGAGAATCTGTCTATGAACGTCGACGGAAAACTTTCCAAGTAGCTGTTTCTGTAGAAATGTGTTATCGATGTGTTCCCCATGTAGGTGCAGTTGCGACGTAAGGGAAGTGAGTTGCTCGCACAACGTTTCTTGATCTTCGAGACTGCCACTCTCGGCTTTTGCCGATTGCAGCTTACTCAAGAGTCGATCTACTAACGCTTGCGTGTCTCCATACTTCCTCTTTAGGTGAGCAATGACTAGAGGATATGTGTGTCCGGCGACTTGGAAATGCTTAACTGATTCCTTGGCTGCTCCTTGTAAAGCATCAAGGAGGTAATTCATCTTATACATGTCATCGATGTTTTGGGAATGTACATTGCGCTCAAAGCTTTGCCAAAAAGGCTCCCACTCCCAGATATCTCCATTGAACTTCGGTATCGGTACTGGATTGAGCGTGACTACTGGATTCCCAAGTGCGCTATTTCGTTCCTCTGTCAGTTCCTCCTGGAGCTCCGTAAGCCTCCTCAACTCGTTTTGAGCCTCATCCAGGATCTCCTGTGCAGCTTCAATGTGTTCCTCTGTACGCTTCAGTAGGTCCGGTTTCGAGTTTCCATCTGCGTTGTCGATTGCTTCAGCGTATCGGTCAATCGCCTCTTCAAGCTTTTGTACCTCCATTGAAATAGCTGCTTTTGCCTTTCTAATTTGCTTTTGCACCTCATTTATGTGTTGACCTTCATTGTTTAGATTAAAGTTACTTGTTTGTGTTCTGAGTAATCCTACAAGACGATTTTGTTCCTGGTTCAGCGAACACCTTGGCGTGTTGGTGATCAGAGAACACATTTTTTTCTCAAATTGAATGACAAAGAACTTGAAACTTCTGTTTAGGCAGCTACTTGAATCGTGACTAGTTACTCACGGTTGGTAGGCTCTTCTTTCCGGATGCGGTGCCGATGCACCATGTAGTGATTGTAGTGTCACTGAATACTGCAGCCGGTGTAGTGTAGTTGTATCCTGCCACGCGGGTCTTCGGAACGTTTATTGTCCACTGCTTGCGGTAGACCAACAACAAAAGGGGAAAAAAGTGAAGTCAACCTTACCGCGGTAGTCTTTTATACTGCCGCGATAATAATAAACAATCAAAGTAAACAAGGCAGTTCATTTTCACAGTATCACGTGCTGGAAATGGTTATAGAGTCTCTCTATACTCCGTCAGGCGGACGTCGCTTCCAGACGAGCAAAGATCACATAGGAGTCGAAAAAAAATACTCGGCTGAAGTATATCCGAATGAGCATTCCGGATGACCTGGATAGGATTCGGTCCCCCATACAAGAGTGTGCCAGCTCCGCCTTTCGCTGCCAAACCACCCTTTGTTCTAACATGAAAGTACATGTCAATAGACAATAAATTCCCATGAAATGTGATATGAAATCAGTTTGAGCAATGTCAGCCGTTTGGCTAGTTGGAGTTTTTGGGCTGATTGTGCTTCCCGTCGCCCACACCCACACTAAAGTGGTAGATCCTTTCCAGGAAGACCGTTAGTTTAATTTTCAGCATTATTACAGATTTCACTGCAACTTTTGAACATTTTTGTCGCCACTGCGCTCTCCTTTAGTCAGCCTATCGGCATGGAACCTTACGCTGCTCTTCTTCCCAGGCGATAATCCGTCGCAGGTCGCACTGCTTTTGTCAAATGTCGCTACCTTCTCCTACCTATCTTCTGCAAAAAGCCTTGACTTCAGCGAGAACTTCCTTGGCAAAGTCCTTCCACATCTTCTTGGGACTCTATGTGGTCTCTTTCTTGAGAGAGAGGAGTCCGCTGCTCTTCGAGCCTCATTTGCTTGTGGCCGCTCGATCGGATCTTCTGCTGTGGGGCCTTAAACAGAACAGGAGCCTGCTGCATGACCACACTGGCGTCTTTTCTTCAGGACTCACCCGGCTACCACCAGAGCGTAGGCCCATCTCAGCATCTTCATTTCACAAGGTGGAGCCACCTTTGTGGCCCAGGTACCGGCGCTCGCTGCCATTGAGCATCATGAGCCTCACCTCTGACCTAATTATCTTGCAGTTGACCATCGTGGATTAACACCAGCCACTGAGGATGGCACAAAAATTCTGCATTAACTTGTCGGAAAACTCTCCCTTTTCCCTCAAACTGCCTTTTTTCAGGCCTTTACTACCTGGTCCATGCCGCTGTCAACCACTACAAGAGAATTCCCGTTCAGGATCCTGCTGGACTCCTCCTATTCAGAAGGACTGTTAAGAGAGAGAGAGGAGAGAGAGAGAGAGAGAAGAGAAAGAAAAGAGAGTCACACCTATTGTCCCTTGTAGAGCCGGAGCCCACACTCTGCGTGGCCACCTCTGTCTTGCGTTGCACTCTGCGCGCTGCATTTGTCCTGCGGGGGCATTTGCACTTTCGCTAGCTCCTTTTGCTGATTCATGTTAATTCACAGGTTTTTTTCTAGTAACACCTGTAAACTGTTGTGAAGCGGGACCAAGTGAGTAGCTTGGTCGTGAATTGGGAGGTCTTCAGAGGATGGCCTGTACGGGCTTCGCTAACTTCCATTTTGCGCCCACCTGATGCCGACAGCGCCACTTCTGACACGATTGTCATGCAGATAGCTCTCAAAATTTTCCTTGCAGTCACCTACAGTGGCATTAATATTGAACGAATGGAGGGCTTCATGGGACGTCTACATCCGGTGCAATGTAATCATTACAAGCCTCTGTGTCATAAGGTTCGTTAGCAGTAGGGCAACCACAGCACAGCCGAGGGCTAGTTGGAAAAAAAGCTAGTCCGAGGCTTGATTGGTAATGTGGCACTGAATGAAGTAATTTCAGTTCATGAAATGTTTTGGAAATTGCGAAGAATTTTTCATTCCTGCCAGTGACTTGAAACGAAGTAAACCAAGAAGACCTCACCGATGAGCAGAAGGAAAGAGCAAAAACTATCAAGGTTTCTGAATTACTCTTTAGAAGGATTGAACCCTGCACGTGAAGGTGGCGATGTGGCCCTTCAGTCACACTGTGGCAAAGTGACTGAAGGGGCCGCATCGTCATTTCAACCACCGTGCTGACTTCGCCGAGGGGTCAGTTGGAGGGAGCTTCCACTTATGTTTTCTGTTCGAAGCAGAGTTCACAATTATTGCAATCAGGCATGCTACTGCGTCTGTCTTGACAGGGTCAGAAAAGGAGATGACAGGACGGCACGCCTGACTCCGTCCATCCCAACAGCGTGGACTGTCCCCTCAATAGCAATTACAGTCATTGCTGCTGCAAACGAGATAGTGTGTGAATGAGCGTGGATATCAGGGCAGCCAGGGCAGCTGTGTGAATGGGCGTGGATATCACAGGGCAGCCTTTCCCATCAATTACACAGAACAGGATCACGATGACCTCAATGGCCGAAAAATTTTTCAGTCTTATGAGTAGAACAATATTTCTTTTCAGACAAATCCATGTGTCGCCATGTTCGCCTACTGTTTATCTGTTGATTACTTTCAACTAGCTGCAGTCCTCGACCTCACGACACCAGACGCTTTTTGAAAAGCAATGACATCTGATTATGAGAGCTTCATGAAACCATTCCATTAATATTCTTAGAAACTTGTCGGTTTCAAATGAAAATTACTTTTGGGAAAGTTTTCGATGCAGACTTATTAGAATTTAGCAAATTCATGTAGTCAACAGCAAGTGTTTCACTTCCTGCAAGAGGCGTCTCTTTAATTCGCGTTAACCTGTCGATTGGAGCACCGGACTTCATGTAGACCCGTCATCGTAGACATTCATGACTATTTTCGGTTCTGAATTGCCTGTTGTCGCCATCTACTACCTGGAACCATCGTCATTTGCGGCGCGACGTCGCACGCGACGCCCACCAGCGCGGTGAATTACGATTCTCTTGTCACATACCCGTTGATTCATGCACAAGCAAACTGCTTGAAGAACTTATAATTATTTATCAATAACAGCAGATATAAATAACAAACGACTATATGACCAATCAATAAGTAATAACTATATAAAATAACATCAGCGAATTTACTGCACTACTACTAATAATACTATATTCACATGTCCGATTTACAAGGCTTTGCAAAAATAAGTGAGTAAAAGAAGAAGTTGAGACATTGGTTTAGTTATGGATCACATATGAAAGTTCACCGGTGCTTCCCTACAACAACTAAAAGTCGAAGAAATACATTTAAAGTGAAAAAATGGTCCTGTCTGAGATCAAAAACCCGATTTTTAGGTCAGATTTATAGGCAGTGGGTATGACAAATTCGTTGCTTATGGAAAAAGTACAGATTTGTAGGATTACGTCAGAGGAGGTGGATGAGCAGATGTGTGACGTTTCACGGACAAAGAAGCGCTAAAATAAAGCAATGAGGGAATGGTTGCGCAGGCCCGCCTCCATAGGGACGAGTAAGTCGTGGCAGGGAAGCGCGCTCAATCCTCCTTTTCGCTGGATCATTTTTCCATCGTTACCCTTCTATTATCATGGGTGAGTTAACTTAAAGTGGGTCAAACATAGCAGTCCTTTCGAAGATGTAATACTGAGGACTAAGCTAATAATTTTAGGATTTCATTACTTTTTGCGGTTGCTCTGTGGTAGCATTAGATACCTTCTCAAACCTTCCAGAAATGTAAAAATGCCGCTCAAAATAACCTGGGTCCTTAACGGCTCTGCATGTTGCGTGGTTGTAGTAAACTTATTAGAAGTTTGTAGAAGGTTAGTAGTAAGCATTAATATAAATACAATGCAAAACTTAGTAGCGGTAGTTAGTAATGAGCTCTAATTTAAATATAGGTTGGAAGGAAAGTCTTGTCACTGTTGTGACTTTTTTTTATTTTCTAACTCAACATACAGTGGGGGTTAGTCAAGAAGATACTCGTCATAGTTGGCCACTACAGTGCTCTACCTAATGAACAGGTAAGCACTCCCCTCCTCGCAGAAGTGAGGAGGCTGCGAGTAATGTAAGTCAGTGGCTTCTCGATTGATGTCATCAAAGTTGCTGAAAGTTTTCTCAGCTAAGAAAGCCTTAATGAGGCGGAACAGGTAGCATTACTAGGGAACTACGTCAGGAGAATGTGATAAGCGGGGACTGGTCTCCCAGCCTTGCCCCTCAAATATTTGGTAGGTCTACATAGTTGGTATGGGGTCTCGCGTACAACAAACGAGGTCCCCTGAAGCTAGTCTCGTTCATTTTTCTCCAACAATTTCCACCGATTTTAGGAGTTGAGCGACACATGTGCTAGCGGCGGTGACCGTCTGTGCTACACGTCAGCCAGTTCTGCGGCATCCCCTTCGCGTCCCAGTAGCAGCACAGAAGAACCTTCCCAGAATACATGCCCGGTTTGGACTGCTAGGATGGATCTTCTCCTTGAGAGAGACACACGGTACTGTGTGGTTGAAATCACAGAGGACCCATCTCTCAACTCCACTAGGCAGTCTCCTAGAAACTCCTTCTGACAAGAGAGGAGAAGGGGAGACTGACCAAGGGAGACCCAGCTGCACAGCGTGCCATCGGTCAATGTATTAGTGATCCATCGAGCCAGTACTTTTTGGTAGCCTAGGGCTTACAGGCGCTGGGCGACTGTCAGTTAAAGGCACAGTTCGCGACCGCAAATTGCGGGAAACGGAACTCAAATAGGCACAAAAAAGTGCTAAGTATCTGATTAGCGGAGAAAAGCAGCAGAAAAAGCAGTCCGAAATGTTATAGAGAAAGATAACATAGTGGCTACTAGCTAGTAGCTAGCAGCCGGTGAGGGTCGGCATGGGCCTAAGGGGTGTCCATGGGCCTAATTAGTCAGCTTCTAGCGGAGTTCTTGCCGTTTTTCACATTTTGAAAGTAGCGCAGCCTCAAAAATCGCCTTCCGGATCGTCCGACACATTTGAGAGGTCATAGCCTTATTTTATCGCGGAATGTGCCTTTAAGCATCCGAGTCTGTCGCAAGACTGCGGTGATAGCCTCAAGATTCTCCTTGTCTGCTTCGAAAATGGTAGAGTCTACCTCTCCGTGTGGCCGTCCCAACCAAGGTTCGACTTCGAGGATCGTGTCTCTTTTCGCGAAGCGAGCGAACCGAAGGTGGCCGGTCATGATGATAGTGGTGTTCTCCGGCAATGCACTGTTGATGTTGCGGACAGCTGCCGTGGCTCCATTGCTGCGGGCCACCGGTAGAAGATGATGACCCGAAGATGCTCCAGCGAAAGTGAGATATAATTAAACCCAGAGAAGAGCAGCCCTCACACACCTCTTGCACGGAAAGCTCTTAGAATGTTCTACAAGCATGGCATGTTACGTCATGTTCAAGCATCGAGAATCAAAAACTGTAAGCTTTTCAAAAAAACACTGACAGAACTTTCCTTCCAACCTAATACAATGCAGAAACCCTTAACACCAGCTCTTAGCAGTAGTAGACTTGATCCAAGTTAGCGGGTAGAGCTTTCCCAAATGACTAGTATATTGATTGTAACCTATGTGGACAGAGTGCACCTCCCTAAATCAGTGGTCAGGATGGGAGTCCCATTCTACGGGTTTGTCCGCTTCAGTTTTTTTTGTTGACAGCTGCATCGCTCAGCACCCCTGACTTCGTTTTTGAGCAAGAAATCATCGTGACCACTGCCTTTAAAGTTTCACTACGTATGAGAGCACCTGGTTGGTCTCAGGAGCTGAAGTGTAGGAGGAGCTATTTGACAGAAGATTTCTCAGAATCACACATACACATATTACTGAATTACATGCTGAATTCTATGTAAAAGACGTCCGCAACTTGACCGTCCAAGTGTTATAGGCTATCTAATTCTCCAGATTGCCACTCTGAAAAAAAGAAATTAATTTGCTATGGATTGTTGAGCGTGCATGTGTGCGCGTGTGCGTGTGAGTGCGCGCCACGCACGTACACGCACGCACGCAACTCCGTAATCCGATCACTGTGCTTGCAATACCAATCATTTGACGCGCCTAGCCGAATGCCGCACGTGGCGAAGACATTACGCCTGCACGGTATCTTTGGGCACGACGAGGTTTGCTGTAGCTCAGCGCAGCTCACATTTGCACTGTGAAAATCCTTTCGCTTTGCTCTGCCGTTGCAGTTAACGTTTCGCGTGCTGAGCTTTTCAAGAAAAAAAAAACTGCAACTAGTGCAATAACTACAAGTCAAACGCAGTAATGCAGATGCAACAGCTACAAATGAGACCCTTTCACGCAGTCATTGAAGGGTTCTCTAATTACTGCCGGATACATGACTAATGTAAGAGTTCAACCTGCTGCCTATCTTGTGCGCACTGTCCAGCCTTGAATCTGTTAGGTTGGAAAAACCCCTTCGAGTCCTTCGTAAGTCTTCGACAAAACCTCAAGGCAAACTTCCTTAACTAAGCGACAACCCCATTCTCGAGGCAATCATCATTAGTAACCAGGACAAATGCCACTACCCGCACAGCTTCTCGGTTCCACACTTCTAGAGCTACGCAACTACGAGAAAAAGAAGAGGTGGACTCATTCTTGAGGAGACACTGAATTTCGAATTTTTCGCTACCTTGAAGACAGTTCCCGCGATAAAGTTTCATGGATAGTTGCTGTTCAATTATGAAACAGTAGCTGATAAGTAATTCCCCAAAGAAGAAAAAAAGCAAGAAGAGTCCTCAAGAACACCATAAACAAAATCGCTCCCTGACAGTCACACTCCCTGCGGTCTCTGTGCAACCCCTGGCTCACAAATCGCTTTTTCGCATCCGAAGTAGATATCATCCAATGCAAAGAAAAAAATACGAAAAAGGACAGAAGTTCCAACGGGAACTCCTCACAAAAAGAAATTCCAAAAACTCGGCGAACGAATTTAGGGTTACGGTAGCGTGCATCTTTTAGTGCGTCGAGCTTTTGCACCAAGAAAATTGCATCACTCGTGATTTTTACGCGTTTTACCTTGCGAGATGGGTTGCAGTTGACTGTATGTGCTCCTAATGAATAAAACGTAATAAAGGAGCAGAATTACTTGTGGGCACGAGCGCAGTCAGTAAAAATGGACATGCAATTTCGATTAATGCCCGCCCCTAACAGACAACAACTGAGCGGCCCTGTTTCAGATGTAGAGAGGGCATCTAGCAAGTGGGCGGTCCAACTGAGCGGGCGTTAGAACTAGAACTTTCAGCGGCTGTAGCACGCTCCTCGCTCGCTGTGGAGTCGCGAGAGTGGGATA